AGATTGAAGCGAAAATCCTAGTAAGTTGGTGTCTGGATGACATGTAATGTGAGCAAATCAAAACTTTCGAGGTAAAATTTCAATTATCATTCTACATACCTTTTAAAAATATTGTCACGCGGCGACCTTTCAGAGTTGCGTTTGAGGAAATTGCATTGTTACAATCTGCAGCGGTTTCAAACTCGACAGTCATGGATCTGAAACAAGGCAATACACTGTCAGACGTTACGGACAAACTGATCTAATCAAAATGAGATAAAGGCAGTAACAATTTAGTTTCAAAGGCAACTATCAAGATATCAATATACTTACGCGCTCTGGTTCCCTGTAGTTGTATCACGTGACACTGAAACGACGCCACCAAATAATCCTCTGATGTCTGATTCTTTTGTATCAGCTGGAAAACCCCAAACGATGGCAGTCTTGAGCTCTGGTCCTCCTGTTAATGCCAGTTTCAGCTGTTTACCGGCATGGAACTTTGGCTGTGAGACAGCAGCCTTTCGGACTTCCAAGGAAGGAAATTTAAGAAATGCCTTTCTGTATGAAGAAGAAAATGTAAGACCGATAGTAACTGACGCTAAATAACTTAAGTGAGTGACTAGTTTACGAAATGTTTGAACCAATTCGCCGAAAACTAACTTTACTCACCGTTTTTTCTGAATCCACTGAACGTCTAAACATGTCGGGAATAGCTTACGCAACTGGTTCGGATGACCATCCCAATTTGAAACTGCGACTCTTACGGAACCATCAGGACCAGCTCCTAAAGGATGCCAGTTAAACGACTACTGACAATCAATACTTACGAGGCTGTTGGTCTTTAGCGAAGTTAGCTTTGAACAGTTGACCTTCCACAGTTAAAGAACTGAAAATTTGGTGAGCTTGCTTAGCCACATCAATAGAGGAGAAGGACATAAATGCACTATTGATTTTAGGGTTTTTATTCAGCAAATTTAGGGAAACAGGTTGACAGTTGTTGGGGAGTTGACTTTTTAGTTGTTCCTGGAATAATACAATGTTTAGAAAGAAGTAACTTACAATTGTCATGGATTTTGGAATTCCACCTACGAACAAAGTTTTGGTGGGTTGCATTCCTTTATTAGCGTCCTCGACTCTCTCTACAGGTATTACTTCGAGCTCCTTCCCGTGAAACATCAACTTTCCTGACTTTAATCGACTTTTGAAAATGCTTATATTAGCGATGGTAGCCATTATGGGTGCTGGTTCCATCCTGCTTATACTGGTCACTGGGCTAATTTTGGAAAGGAATTCTTTCAAATTATTCAAGTTATCAGGTCCATGTAGTATGAGGACCTTGCCTGATGTACTGCTTTGTGGCTCAGACCCCTCAGTCACTTTACTCGGTATGCTTGATACCTTATTTTCCGTCAATTTCTCATTGTTCAACATCGAACCAGGTTTTTGGACAGCCTTTGACCCAACCAGGTTGTTGATGGCTTTACCTTTCTCAGCATTCAGTTTTGAATTGTCTTTATTACTTTCTTCCTCTACTTCACTAGACTCTTCCTCATTATCGTCGTCGTCTTCCTCCTCACAATCGTCGTCATCGTCTTCCTCCTCACTATCGTCGTCGTCATCTTCCTCTTCGCTTTCGTCATCGTCATCATCTCCATTCTCTTCGTCCTCCTCCTCCTCTTCCTCCGCACTATCATTTTCTTCGTCATCATCCTCTTCATCTTCACTGACAAGATCTTTTTTCTGCAGTTCCATCCCCTTTTCAGTCGCCAGCTTCAGTTTCTATGAATTTGTTTGGAACAAAAATCGTTTGATCAGGTTATAACTTATATACTCTGAAGCTTTTAAAAATTAGTTGATTTCACTTGTGGCAAATCTGTGCCCCAATAAACTAGTCGAAATTTCGAACTGATCTGTTTTTGTGGTAGGACGATTCGACTGCTGCCGGCTTACATGAACTATCTGGCTCGTGCATTACCATGTTAAGTTAGATAAGAAAATAAACTAGTATTAATTACTAGAAAGTCTAATACAGAACCCGATATGCATGAGATTGGAACTTGAGGCTCAGATGGAACACCATCCTCTCCATATATATAAGTAAAAACTAATTCATATCTTCACCCAACTATCAGTCCCGGTTCAGCTACACTAAACAGGAAACTTGATAGTCATTCATCACGAAGTAGGAAGACCATAAGTACAAATAACAAAACTCAAGGTAAACGTTGATCATTGTTTGAGCTTGTAACCATGTGAACGCCCACTGTCATAAATGTGTTTATACACGCTAAGTGCATGTCACTGGTCGAATATAAGAGTAACCCACAACAACTCACAAAGTCTGACTAGGCTTCCCACAAAATGATCATGAAAGGTAGTGACAAGCACAACCTATATGGAATCGGACTGTAAACACAGTACTGTATAATCAATACTCTAATGCTGGCAGACAATCGGGACTTCATGAGAATATCCTTACATACCGAGCAAACTTCTAGTGCGTAACAAGACAAAAACAACTCGGGCTATATGGAGTGAAGATATTAGCTTATTTACCTTATGTGACATCCTTAGTTCACCAGCATCACCGCCAAACGCACCTGTCTCAACCTCTACATCACTATCGTCGCTGCCGACAGGGACTGGACGCTTTGATCCACCTCTCAATGGAGTGCCTTTGCCGTTGACAAGATGCTTGTTTTTTGATTCCGGAGTAGCACTGGGCTTTGGAGATTTAATTGTTGAATTATTTACTAAAACCAAACAATCTGGTGAGTAAATTCGAAAACAGAAAATGGGACGTAAACCAAAGAGTATTACTTACACAACTGCTTCGAACGACCCTGAAAGATAAAAAAAATCGTGCGTTAGTCATGAGAACAACGGAACCACACATAAGCACCCATGAGCCCCATCCCACTCACCATGTTCAACTAACCACCGGACGTTGAATGTGAAACACACGCTTAAACACGTAACACATTAAAACTATTCATTGAGCTTTTAACAGCATATGTTAGTAATCAACTGAGGACTACAAAAAACCAGGGATGAAACATGCGGGCTTACACCGAATTACTTCCTGTAAGGATATTATCGTTTACCAACAAATATACTACACATTCAGCCAGGTCAAATGGTTAGCGTAAAAGATGACAGGACATCAGCTAATTCTACCGAGTGTCGTACATTCAGTCTGTTGTTGATTGAATGAAGGCATCTCTCGCTGTTGTTGTTGTATGGATACAGTGTGCGTTGTCAACTCCTTTCGCCGAGGGCCTGGTAACAGGACGTCCATAAAAAGACAACGAGAACCCCGTGGTTGTGGACCTCTAGTAATTGGTATTGCACTCGATTCTACCGGAGACCAAAGTTTGTGCTATCGTGGGAGAACTTACTATTCTCCCGAATCCTATATGATAAATGTCGTGCTAATTTTTCGGAAATTGACGCGACTTCAACATCTTCCTGGATTCCTATCCAATCTATCCTTTTTCAAAGGGATAGAGGAAACAGTGAACTGCCGACTCAGGCTGTAGTGGGATAATTCCACCAAATCCTAAGTCCCGCGGAATCAAAGGTAGCCGATGTTGAGATAAGAGCATTTTATAGTATATAAAGCCGGAAAATCGTACGTTTTAACACTAACTCACTATCCCCTTAACCACAAATGTGGGGCTATTCTCTTAGGGAGTGAAGAGCATCACTAGGCTCATAATCTTCTCTCAGAAAACCACAGCCCAAATTTCATTAGCATTCAAACGACCTGCTTATACCGCAGTACCGACGTACGGCAAATCAGGTCAGCGATTTGAAGCACTCTCATATCTATCGGTTAGTCACATGTGTGATCGGAACTCTTGAAACACTATACTACATGCGAACTCTATCTTCCCTATGAAGGTCGGTCGGCAAAACATAGACACCGCGTACACGCCTTGTGGGAGAACATGCGCCATGACTTTGCGTTTATTTCGGTTCATCTGACACGACATCTAGGTACCCTAATTGTGTATTAGTGGCGACCCTGGGTGACATTCTGAATAATTCAAAAATAGGACAGATGCACTAATTTGCCTGACTCCCGAGCCATATCACCTGTAATTTAGAGGTAATTAATTATCATTATCACAGTAAGTAGACGGACAATTTCCAACCACTAATTATAACATTGTTGGCTTATTCGCATTCGATGAGTTGCTCGAGAGGAACCAGTACACGACAAAATGAGCTTCAGGTCAGTCACCATCTCGAAAGTCCTGACAAAAAAAAATACGTTTTATAAGCGGAGCCTGGTTAAGACACTAATACCCAGCCCTTCTTCCATATAAATATATATATATATGGTTGGAATCGACTTATTCCAGCATGACCTCAACTCTGTCCCGCTACTTTACCTCACTGTGTTCTGTAAAAAACCGCGTATGAAGTGAAGTGTATATTAGACTACAACATTAATGAATTTCCAACATGAATATTTTAATGTTTAAAGTCATATGTACGTTAATAAAAGTATTTGCACGACGCACCAGTAAGGAATCCCTGAAAAATACCAGGATATTTAGTCCTCATCTGAAGAGGACGACTCCGAAGGGCTGGCATTTCCTGGACGGTGAATTACGGCTGATGTTATTCGGGGTCCTTTTGAGCTGCCGTACCCACGAACTGGCTCTCCTCTGGCTGGGCTGCGATCTCGTCTTTGATCTGTTCGTTCGAAGCGGTCATTTCTACCAAACTCGCGTGACCCGCCTCGATTAGCTGGAGCACCTTGGAAACGGTTTACATCTCTTTCGCCTCTGCCTGAATTGTAGTCGAACTGCCTACCTGAAACCACAAAAAGAAAATAGTTACCCTGCCTGTCACACTGAAACAACTAAACCAGTTAGTTGCCTGACAAAATAAACTTACCTTGTCTGTTGTAGTCACGTTGACCACTATAATCACGCTGATTGTACTCACGTTGATTGCCATCTCTCTGGTTACCGTTTTCACGCTGGTTGGTGTGATCTCGATTATTGAAATTACGCTGATTGTAGTCGCGTTGATTACGTTGACCGTATTCTCTTTGGTCACGATTATAAGGGCGCTGATTGTTATAACTCGGTTGTTGATTGTGCTCCTGGTCTATAATGAACATCACATACAATTTATGGGCAATCCTTTACCTCTCTGGATTCGTCCACGTACAGGCCTACCGCCCATCATCTTATTTCCGCAGGAAGTAAGAGCGGCGCTGCACTGGTCGGAATTCGAGAAAGTCACGTGAGCAACGCTACAAACAAATGAAAGTTCAAAAATAAAATTTACCCTCTGGAACGTCCCTGCTCGTCTAACGAAAGTGCCACTCGGAGGGCTTCTGGGAACTCGCGCATAATATCTCTTTCAGATGCTGTATAGGGAAGATTTGACACGGTGAGTGTACAAGAGGCGTTGGAAGAACTTTCACTATCAGTTCTACTATGCGGATCATACGTGGGCTGGCTGTACTCATTATCGGCATGTGAACGTCTGAAATCCCTGGAATTGCCTCCATAATGCTGGCTGACATTTAAATTTTCTGACGAACTGGAATGATAATCTGAAATATATAAACTGAGTGATTATTAAAGAGCTTTTGAAATAAGTCCAGTGATTGTACGAGTTTTAATGACCAACTCACCTCCGTTCAGTTCCGCATGCAGCAGCTGTCCACCAATTTCTTTTCCTTGAAGACATTCATCGTAGGCTTGTTGACAGTCGCGAGCATTGTTGAATTGCAAGATGCACATGCTGTTTCACATATGAAACAGAAAAAGAGAGCAAATATGGAGCGATCAATGGGAAGCGAATAAGCTTTACTAAAGACCCCGTAGGCAGATCTTTCGAGTAACAAATTTCTACCTCCATCGAAAGTGTTCGGGTCGACCTTCCTGCATTTCACTCCATCGCAAATAGTACCACCTGCTCACATTACAGGAATGGGTCAATGTGGCACACCTGCGTCGCCAGTAACAAAAGGTAGAAAGGTAAAAGATCGGAGTCAGTTCTTGTTAACGTACTAACGGAACATCATTAAAATGCCTAGGTTCACCTTTGGACATTTAACTTGCCAAACAAAAATATTGCAGACTGTCGAACCTACTGTGGTACTGCTCATAAAACGGAGTGAATTAGATCTCTTATAATGTCGTTAAATGTGCGGTAACAAATCAATTTGTAGGGAGCAAACTGTACTCACCCTTTAGATTGCGAAGACACAGAATGACTTCGTACGAAGTTGACTGACCTGGCCGAAGGGAATACCGACTGAACTTCTGTTTCGTCTGCCGAGGTGGGTAGATTGTATACGGCCAAAGAAGTGGCTTGACCAGACTGGTATGCTTGTGTCAGTGACATGCTTTTTAACTAAAAACAGAAGTACTCATCAAGGACGGAAAACAAACTGTCAGAGAAATCAGATTCATTTACAAAGATTTATTTGCAATTTGGATTTACAGAGCAATCAAGTTTTTTAATCAGAACCACCGCGTTTTGACCAGCCCCCACGGTTACCACCACGACCACGGAAAGACTGGCCACCACGACCGTGAGGCGACTGACCACCGCGGCCGCGAGATCGACCACCACGACCACGAAACGAGTTGCGCTTGAAATCACCACCAAATTTGTGCTGCGCTTTGAAGTTGCTTTGATCTCCTGAACGGTTGTCTGCTTTCGGAAATCCACCAGTTTTTTTGTCGTGTAAGCCAGGAAACTGCTTCTTCTCCTTGCCTTTAGGTGAGACCATATCAACGTCCTCGTCACTTTCGTCTTCACTTCCGTCCTCTTCTTCCTCGCTTTCATCTTCACTTTCATCGTCTTCGTCACTGTCGTCGCCATCTTCACTTGTACCTTCGTCCTCTTCGTCGTCATTCTCATCCTCAATGTCATCTGCGTCATTCACTTCCTCTGCCTTTGAAACTTTGTGAGCAGCCTTGACCTTCGAAACACCTACTTCTACAGCTATAATGAACACCAAAAACCTTTAGAAAGACAGCACAATTGCGAACAAACATACAAAACAAACCGAAACAAACTCACGTTTAGCTTTCTTCTCAGATGGTCCAGAATGCTTCTGTTGATTGTTAGCACAATCATCAACAAAGACATCTGAAGGAGAAATACGGGTTAGTTTAGTGAGGCAAAAACTCGAAAGATTGAAGCGAAAATCCTAGTAAGTTGGTGTCTGGATGACATGTAATGTGAGCAAATCAAAACTTTCGAGGTAAAATTTCAATTATCATTCTACATACCTTTTAAAAATATTGTCACGCGGCGACCTTTCAGAGTTGCGTTTGAGGAAATTGCATTGTTACAATCTGCAGCGGTTTCAAACTCGACAGTCATGGATCTGAAACAAGGCAATACACTGTCAGACGTTACGGACAAACTGATCTAATCAAAATGAGATAAAGGCAGTAACAATTTAGTTTCAAAGGCAACTATCAAGATATCAATATACTTACGCGCTCTGGTTCCCTGTAGTTGTATCACGTGACACTGAAACGACGCCACCAAATAATCCTCTGATGTCTGATTCTTTTGTATCAGCTGGAAAACCCCAAACGATGGCAGTCTTGAGCTCTGGTCCTCCTGTTAATGCCAGTTTCAGCTGTTTACCGGCATGGAACTTTGGCTGTGAGACAGCAGCCTTTCGGACTTCCAAGGAAGGAAATTTAAGAAATGCCTTTCTGTATGAAGAAGAAAATGTAAGACCGATAGTAACTGACGCTAAATAACTTAAGTGAGTGACTAGTTTACGAAATGTTTGAACCAATTCGCCGAAAACTAACTTTACTCACCGTTTTTTCTGAATCCACTGAACGTCTAAACATGTCGGGAATAGCTTACGCAACTGGTTCGGATGACCATCCCAATTTGAAACTGCGACTCTTACGGAACCATCAGGACCAGCTCCTAAAGGATGCCAGTTAAACGACTACTGACAATCAATACTTACGAGGCTGTTGGTCTTTAGCGAAGTTAGCTTTGAACAGTTGACCTTCCACAGTTAAAGAACTGAAAATTTGGTGAGCTTGCTTAGCCACATCAATAGAGGAGAAGGACATAAATGCACTATTGATTTTAGGGTTTTTATTCAGCAAATTTAGGGAAACAGGTTGACAGTTGTTGGGGAGTTGACTTTTTAGTTGTTCCTGGAATAATACAATGTTTAGAAAGAAGTAACTTACAATTGTCATGGATTTTGGAATTCCACCTACGAACAAAGTTTTGGTGGGTTGCATTCCTTTATTAGCGTCCTCGACTCTCTCTACAGGTATTACTTCGAGCTCCTTCCCGTGAAACATCAACTTTCCTGACTTTAATCGACTTTTGAAAATGCTTATATTAGCGATGGTAGCCATTATGGGTGCTGGTTCCATCCTGCTTATACTGGTCACTGGGCTAATTTTGGAAAGGAATTCTTTCAAATTATTCAAGTTATCAGGTCCATGTAGTATGAGGACCTTGCCTGATGTACTGCTTTGTGGCTCAGACCCCTCAGTCACTTTACTCGGTATGCTTGATACCTTATTTTCCGTCAATTTCTCATTGTTCAACATCGAACCAGGTTTTTGGACAGCCTTTGACCCAACCAGGTTGTTGATGGCTTTACCTTTCTCAGCATTCAGTTTTGAATTGTCTTTATTACTTTCTTCCTCTACTTCACTAGACTCTTCCTCATTATCGTCGTCGTCTTCCTCCTCGCTGCCGTCATCATTATTTTGATCATCATTTTCATTTTCTCCGCGAAACTTAATAGTATTTCTCATCAATAAGAATAATCTTTATTGTTTACTTTTCCGTATTCTGTCTTTTCTTACTTATTTGAAACCTTCCAAATCAATTCCACATTGTTTATGTGCTGCTAGGTGGGTTTATGTTTCTGGTATTACATCCGATTGGGCTGGGTATATCTGCCTTACTAGCTCTATTTCTTATTTAGCAGGTTTTGAGCGTTTGTGTGACAGATCTAAAGCCTATTTAAATGGTTTCGTCCTTCACCGATAGTGGCCTCGGTATCATCTTCTTTTGAGATCCCATAGTTCGAAAATTTACAATCTTTAGGTTCTTTTCCTTACGTCTATGCACGTTTAGCGAGGTGACTCCGAATATATACTGAGGCATTAGCTGATTTAGTATCTGCTTTATGAACCCAATGTCTTGCTAAAACGAGTTTTATGTTCTGAGCTTTCATTCTCCTTGATCACATAAAAAATAACTAACCTGTCACTATGACGAGTCTTTAGTTTCTCAGCTACGTTTGGGGGTCTGACTTTTCTTTAGCGACGTTAGATCGTTTCATATTCTTTATCGTGCAGTTAAACTGGCTAGTATCCTGTGGTTACCTTGTAAAGCCTCTCATTACTTGAATGATGCTATCGTCTGTGTGAAGATGTCCTGGTCATTTAGTGCCTGATAATACTATCACCCGTTACACCGCTCTAATTGACGAACTTAAAGCCAGCTACACCATATGTCACGAATGGTGTTCATTCAATAGATAGTTGATTCATTTATACGTATATGGTATATGCCAAATAGTTATTGTAAAAGATACTATGATAATCAGAAGTATTCGAATTATTGTGTCAACTGAGAATTTCTGAAATTGCGTAATTTTAAGCCGGTAGTGTTGTGACTTTAAATGCGGCTATTTATTTATTTGTCAACCAAATTACGACTGACTTACTCTTTTACTGTACTAAACCACTGACGTCCGACTGATCTGATCAGTTTAGCGTCCTTATTGGTTATTTGCTCGCCTAGCCCGTCCAGCTGAGTCCAGAACATCAACAAAAGCCCCCGCTATGCGAATCATTTATTTCAAACATACTTGATTCACATACCAACCAAACAAACCGCGTCACACCATAAAATAGGAAATAACGTTCGCACACAATAGAGCCAAAAATTGGCTGTGAACGTGGGAGACAGTAATCAATAAACTGAGTACAACTTAAGAACAGTAAATCGTATAACAATAAATTATGTCAAAATGAAGCTTATAACAAGGGGAATATAGATATACATAATTTAGTTACTGAATAGTTATAAAATAGGAATATATATCATATTAGTTCGTTAATAGTTCTCGGAAGTTACTCGTAGTTTATTCTTCGCTAGGATATAACAGGCAGAACTATATGAACACATATCAACATATTATATTTGTAATTATTAATCAGTGTGCAATCAAGTACGAAGGAATAATTAGTTTGTACAAATACAACATCTGCCTCAGTTTAAATGGGAACCCAAACTTTTGCAATCGATTGTGCTTCTCATTAAATTTATCATGTGTTTGTCTGAAGTAGATTGTATGATCTAGATTATTCTTATTAGTATTAGAACTAACAGACGAAATTGTAACATCCTCACCTGGTTCCTGGAATTGTATTCACTCAGTAGGTCGGTTGTATGTGTTTAAATCATTGAAGATCATCTTAACAGTACTATGCAGCTTCCACAAACTCCAAACACAAAGAAGGAGAATCCTTCCTTCAATAGCTTTTCAGTAGTCTCATTCTTTACAGAATGTTTAGCACTTTTATACTACAGTAGAAATGTGTCTACTCCCTTCTCAAATTAATCAAATCTTCAAGCAGCATTAAAGTCAGCAAAGGTTTTTAATGTCCTATAGAAATATCTTTCCCAACCATTAGAACAAGGGTGCCCGGGAGCAATGAACAGATGTTTGCACCCTATACTATTCAACCAGGTTGTGATCGTGTCTGCAGCGAAATGAGGACCATATTCAGTCACTTATGCCACAAGTACCTCTTACCAACTAAAAACGTACCCGAATTCCTGATTTTGAAATTCAGAATTTGGTGAAGTTGGCAAAAGACCTCAGCCGTCTTGAAAAAATCAGTGGCTACAAGTGCACAGTATTTGCGAGAAATTGACCGCAAAGGTGTGCATGAATTCTCTACCAGGCCTCAGACGATACTGGTAATGGAGTCCACTTCGAAGAATGATTTTTTGACTTATGATATCTTCTACAATTGTTTGCTGAACGACTTATATCTGCATTTATATCTGCTCATCAAAATGTGAGCCTTGCCAAGGACTTCATTTTCTCAACACCTAAATGTTCACTACGAAGATCTTCAAGGACGGAGTTACGCAATGAAGGAGGAATAACAACACGATCATTCAAGCACAAAATGTAAGATCCACTTTGAATGCTTTGTGTGTTTGTGAAAATCCCTCCATGTATATACTTGTACTTTGTTCCTATTGATCCCCTTAGTTGTACATTCTTGTCTTTTGATTACATTTGAATTGTTAATATTCGTATTTTTTATTATAGTTTTTGTTTTTCTTACGCCTTCACTAAGTCTTGTGTTTCT